GGGTAGGGTAGGGTAGGGTAGTGTAAGGGTAGGGTAGGGTAGGGTAGGGTAGGGTAGGGTAGTGTAAAGGTAGGGTAGGGTAGGGTAGGGTAGGGTAGGGTAGTAGACGGCGGCGCTGCGCGCAGCCGTCTTAAAAATATTTGCGAAAAACTTAGGGGAACGTGACAACGCACGGCGTGGGTTTTAAACTCTCGATTTTGACGACGGTTTGGCGCCCCCGGATTGCCAGGTCGCCCCTATTTCAACTTGCCGCCCCCCCCCCCTCCAGAAAATTCCTGGATCCGCCCCTGGGGTAGGGTAAGGTAGTAGGGTAGGGTAGGGTAGGGTAGGGTAGGGTAGGGTAGGGTAGTAGGGTAGGGTAGGGTAGGGTAGGGTAGGGTAGGGTAGGGGTAGGGTAGGGTAGGGGTAGGGTAGGGTAGGGTAGGGGTAGGGTTGAGTTCAAAAAGGGCCCAACATACAAAACACTTGAACACCCCGCAACTATCACCATCCCTTACAGTTCAATTAAAAACAGCTACCCAAATCTACCCAAATAATACACCTAAAAATACAAGTCAATCACCCAAACTAATGCACCCGTAGCATAACATAAATCAAAACATACAGTTATCGCGTAAACCTGTACCTCTAGTTAACCGTAAAGCCATATTTTCATACATAGCTATTCACCACTAAGCCACAATGTCACCGAATACAAAACTAAATAAAGCACCTTCTTGAGAGTGCATAATACTGCTATATAAAGTGGCAACCTGATCCAATGATAGTAAGATTTGATCGCCTAGCAACGCCAAAAGACATTCGGCGCCAAACCGGTTTACTGATGGCCTCAAGGCCCTCACTTGTTACCTAATGTCTAATTAAGACATGTTTAGCTTGTAGGTACAGATGGTGCAGAACGTCGATTTGGTGGGCATTATACACGTGACAGTCGTTCTGTCTTCCGGTCTACCATACAAAGAAAAACTCCAGATATTAAACAATCTAAAAATTATTTACAAAGTTGCATGTTTTATTGAGTACATTGCGAAGATCTCCAAAAGCCGGCACTAACAATGATAACTGAACAAATTACACAACATGTGACCACTGGCTTGTAAGAATCGTTATTTTAAATCACTTGGTGTTACTTATCCGTAAAATATACGTCCGCCACCAAACTGGTTGCTGGTGGCCTGGTTGTTGGCGAACTGCTTGTTTCCGAAGAATCCGCTGGTCTGACCGACGTTGCTACTAGCTGAGTTGTATGATGATCCACCGCGGTTTGCAGAACCCTGAAGGCAGGAGGTGGCTTGTGAATGATTATGGATTCAACAGAGCTGAGGAATACGATGCGTCTATGAAGCGATGTGAATTATGAAATGAGTTGAACATAGCTCTATGAAGGCGTCTGAACTTGTCGATCGTTTTTTCGTTGCCCTTGCATGGAAGGAAAATTGAGTAGCTTTACCTAAAACTTTATGTTTTAATTACACAACAGCGCACAAGCAACCGAAATCAGAGTTCTTGGACATTGAAGATTTTTTTTTAGGGAGTATGCGGTGGCCTTAACAATGTTCAAAGCCACCTGTCGGAATCCGCTAAGGATTGTTGGTTACCACGTCGTTTGTTTTCAGTTACTGTAAATCACAGATTCCGAACTTACGCTCGCGAAGGCGTTACTGTTCTGGATCTGGCTGTTTCCGAAAAACCCCTGGTTCTGTCCCTGGGTACTGGAAGCTCCAGCATTGCCGGTCGCGCTGCCACCGCGGCCAAATCCGAATCCAAACGGTTTGGCGCTCACCACCGCCACCAGGCAGAGAAGAACCACGGCCGTCCTCATCACTGAAACCGGGAAGCAATGGTGAACAGTGGGCGGTAGCGGAACAATGCGTCATAACAAATAACTCTTTTGGATCACCATACTATGAGAATAGTGGAAGGCTAAAATAAATTCAAAAGATCAAACATACAAAACAAAAATGTTCAGAGCGCAGATATGGGGACGATGAAATGTACCCAAGCTGTTTCCTTTCAGGAGTGTAACTTGAAATGATGAGATGCCCAGCCTTAAACCTAACTATTGTTTTTGCCACTTGTTCAGTTTTGGTTCGTTCTTTGTCCAGTCTTTTACAGAGATAACTTTTGGAGGAAAATGTGAAAATGAGAAAACAAGCTAACGTTTCACTGTATTCCGTATATAAAACAAAATTTATAATAGGCAGAGTAGCGTGAGTAACCTTGAGAACCCTTCCCCGCTCCGGAGCCAACTTACCTGTATGTTAGGGGTGCTTTTGCTTGTTATTTTCTCGTCAGTTCCTCTTACTATCTCACCGTCTCCCGATTCTGCGTTGCACTGTTCCTCACGCACATTTCTCTGCGTTTATATAGGGGAGCGGTCGGGTGTGCCGATCTCTCGTCCAAGCCGGTTTTCCCTAGATCCGCAATGACAATTAGACAAGACAAACAATTGGATAATGAGTCACCTACATGTGTTCTGCACGTACAGAGAATGATAGACAGCTATAATTGGTGAGCGAGGGAGCGGGGAAACCAGACCTGCCGAACTGGCTTGGGAATTCCCTTATCTTGTGGCTTTATCAATGCTGCGGCTTGGTAGAGGCGCATTGTTCAGCTGAGTGGCATCTGTGCTCTTTTGCGGTGATTTGGTCGTGTCGCGTAGTTTGTTGGCTAATTATTGCGTCGAATCTGATGATGATGATGATGATGATGATGATGATGATGATGATGATGATGATGATGATGATGATGATGATGATGATGATGATGATGATGATGATGATGATGATGATGACGGTGCTGTCGAAACAGCCCCCCCCCCGCCCCTCGACAACATAAAAATGAAGCGATTAGTGGTGTCAGTTTCAGAAAATGTATGTCCAAAGTCCGTCCAGAGTCCAAGAATTACGTCGACTGTCCGTCCAAAAATGTTCAAGCCAGCCATTTCTCCAAAGGTGCCCGACACCTACGCAATAGTTAACATTCAACACTGTTCTTCAGTTTCCTTTTAACGTACTATTACCACGTCAAAAATGTGTATCATATCGAAAGTTGAGCTTTCAATTGATTACTTTGTAAAAATGCTGATGTGTAGCGAGTGATTGTCCAATGTCGTCCAAAGCCTGCTGTCATTGTCTAACCAAATTCCGAGTTGGACATTGCACGAAATCGGAATTCCGAAGGTTCAAGTTCCATTGACACCATAGAAGCGATTAAATCATGTCATCACAATTCTAGGGCTCAGATGGATCCCAGCCCCAACAATCGGGTGTTACTCGGTACTTGATCTCGTTACGAGCAGACGCCTGTTTTTTTCCGCAAGATCAGTAGCCGAACGTCCTATCGTTTTATTCCTATACATGAGCCGCTGTAAAAACGCCAAAACGGGCGACGATCAAGGACAATGCATCAAATTCCCGTCATTATTCGTGTGTACGAGTACGTACATCTTTGAAGGCTGTGCAATATTTTGCAAGTGGTCGGTAGCAGTAATATGTACGTAAATTTATGGAATTAGAAATGGGAACTATGCATTTACATTTCATTCTCAAAATTGTATGGCTTCTTTGATCCTCGTAACAAACATAAATTCTTATATAATACTGCATCCTTACCTTATACCTGTTGACCTTTGTTACCCGGTCTCCAGACGCCAAACCAGTATAGGACTTTGTGACAGGCGACTTATCTCCCGGTCTATAAACCACTGATTGGCATGGGGTTGCTACCATCACATCCTGATGCCTAGAACAGAAACGGACCCACAATACTTGTCTCATTGGGCAGTGAAGTGATAAATGATGAATGATGATGCTCCCAACATTTTGTGATAAGCGATTTGACGATCCATGGATACATATTTTATTATCTTATGGCTATGTACATATTAACCCTCGCCGGCATAGGGCGGTTGATGCAACCCCCCTAAGGTTTTTCGCAAATAACTCGCGTAAAAAGCGGCCGATCACAACGAAATTTTCAGCACCTTCGCATTGATCAATTTTACACTTACCCTGAAAATTTCATGACCGTGACCCAAATGACCTTTGACCTGTGACCTTTTTCCGAGACCATGTTTGGCCGGAATCGCGATTCGGCGTATGTCGGCTCGCATTAGCCGCGCGTTTGCAAGCTTTTCGTGGTTTCAAACGTTCAAACATGTGATTTGATGTTGCTCGCATGCATAATGGTGGGTGTCAAGGTCACCTGAAGGTCAGGTCAAGTCATTGACCTTTTGTGACCTCGGTTCACTTTTTCGAGTTTTACATGTTTCTAGGCTAGTTTTTGGAGCTGATTTCGAATTTAGCAGCCATTTGAACATTTACGAATTAGTTTTGGTGCCTTCATAACATGTTACGAAGCTGTCAGAGGCGGATGACAGGTACTACGAATACCCGTCATGACCCCTACCGGTTGACCTGACCTGACCTGACCCGACCTGGTCTATTAATGACATCATCTGTGATCAAAACTAACACGATATTCGTGATCAGCACCCCGGAAAACCCCAAAGCATTCACACTTACGACTTTCTAACAGGTCCCGATATTCCCGATTTTGGGTCATTGACCTGACTTGGAAGGTCAACCGATGACCTAGGAACTTATAATTGAGTACCATCGGCTTCCTCTCGTGACGGGCAACACGCTCGTTTTTTTTCCGCGAAGCTCTAGCTCTATCGGGGGCCAAACGCGAGGGGGGGGGGTCGTACCATCCCCCCCCCACACACACACTTGTGCCGTCGAAGGACTCAAAATGGCCTGTGCCGGCGAGGATTAAAATGTATGCTTCACATATCCTGGCCCCAGCTCTATAGCCCTGCGCCATCGAGGATGCAAAATTAAAAACTTGCAATGGTTTTCAGTTTTTATTCAGCTAAAATAACAACCTTTTAGACATTTTCGAGCAACTCTTCTTCTTACTTTACTACGTTTTGTTCCGCACATGTAACATACCAACTGAGCAATGGATTCAGATGTTTCCAGACTTGATCTGTGCAAAGATGCTATGCCGACGCCCGACACTATGACTCGCTCAGCACAACTTCTTGTTCATTTGCCATCGATTCTCACAATTACCATACAATTACCATCGATTTTCTTTCCGTTCTCTTATTCGACATTTTTTGTTGTAAGTTTTTTCGTGTGAGTTGTTCTACATTTACTTATTTACATTTTTTTTTGTGTGAGTTGCAGTGTAACACACAAAAGTTTAACTGTGTGTTCCTGTCCAGTCATGGTGTACATAGTTTTACCGAATGACACTAGTTTTACCACATGTATGTTCACAACTCTGCACAGAACATTTGGGCCAGCGTTTCAATTGAGTGTAATTCAAAATTAGCGCTGAATAATTTGCTATCAGTGGAAGTTAAATATATCTAGGCTGTGAAACGACGGTAAGTGTTTGGAACACACCACTCTGCTAGCATTGAAATCCGTTCTAGTGGTGTGTTGCTGCTAACGACAGCCATATTCGGCGTTAAAATAATCCAGTCCCGTTGTTTGCATGTTATGACAGACAAAACCGTCCATGAGGGAAAACCCTTCAGCCATGTGATCATGATTCTGAGCATGTTTCTGTATTTATCAGAGCACAGCGCTAGCCTGTGAACTGGTTGCTAAAGGCGCCGGTATTGCCGAATTGTTGAGCTCCTCCGAAGGGTCCGATGCCCTGGGAAAGAGTGGCAGTGCCTTGACTGAGGTTTGATCCGCCGTTGAATGCGCCTCCCTGAAAGAAGAATTGGCGTAAGAATAAGAAATAATACAGACACCTCAGGTCAGGTCACCTCCAATATATAAGAACGATACTGCAGGGACGAAATGAGCTAGCAAAGAAAGTAATCGAAATAGAGCTTGAAACTTGAAAGGAAAGAAAGCAAATGGGCAGGCAACCGATAAGTAGATCTGGGATTTATCTTTTTTTTAATAAAGTTTTTTTAATAGTTTTTAATAATTTTATTTATTTAATAAAGGAGCTGAACTAATTTAACTAAAAAAAAAGTGGCTAAACCATGACGTAGATTGGTAACAAAAAGGGCAGTCTAAATAAAATTTTAATTTTAGCATGAATTCCTCACTGAAAAAAATCACAACTTCCGAATAAACAGTTGAAAATTGACAGTTTTCGGAATAATAGTACATACACATTAGAGTTGCAAAATTTCCCCCAAAGGTTGCTACCGGCACCGCCCCGCCCCACAAAAATTTTCTGGGATACCGGCATGCTACCACGACCCAAGCAAAAACACCACCAAATTACCGGCATACCAAAAAACCTGCAATGTTGATTCTAGCTTACCCCTACAAGAGATGCCACACTTTGGCAATTTCAGTGCCCATCCCAGTTCCCACCCAGCAGCCACCCAATGTCCAACCTAACTACGAACAGGATGATTTTGGCTCAGTTGGCCCCACAAATACCCACAATTTTGAAACTCAGTTCCAGTCTATAACTGTTAAAATATCACGTGTAATCAAAGAGGTATTGCCTACAAAAAAGCAGTAAGTAAAAAGCATAAAAAAGCAATGACAAGAACTTAAATCACTGCATTGTTTCTGAAGACTGGACAGTTCAAGTTAGCAGTAATCACATTAACATTTCAGAGGTGTTCTACTATTCCACATTGTCCTAAAATGTTGCAGGAACCTACCAACCAAAATCAAATTTTGAAATCTAGATGGCCACAACATAAAAAGTACCTACAGATTCGGCCATGTGCCTGAGGAAGCGAGATCAACACCTTTTTTCCTTTTCGCCATGGCTTGCTGGCTCATGAATAAGATACGAATCATTTGAAAAATGTGAAAAACTCACTTGTCCTGAGAACAGTCATCAAATAATATGCATAAAAACGATATAATATCCGCTTTCTCGAAGAATCTTCCTCTCCAAACACAAGGTTATCAACGGTTATCAACTATCAAAGATTTCGAAACAGCTGCGCCATAATAACAGATACTTTTAACCAGCTGATTAAATTGCTGCAAAAAAAGTTTCTGAACTGTAGCAAACTGCCTGATAAATGATTTGTTGATGTAAATGATCCAAAACGATATTGAATTCTGATGTAATCAACATTGTGAGTTTAGTTCACTACAAGAAAATGCATTCTCTTTCAGGAATTAAACCAAAAAGGCATACGAATAAATATTACGTCATCATCTTACATCCTTCCATCAGGGGAGAGAAGATCTTTTAGGTCAATCCTTGGTTCCCCTGTTATTCTGCGCCACTTTGTTTATTTTGTATGCATATTGTGTTTTGTTGTAAAGATGAGACAAAATGCCAGTTTATTTGATTTTCATTTCATTTTTGGGACCAAAGTCAGGCTCAGGGCTACCTAATACCTGCCTTTTCAGCTGGATTTTCAGTGTCAAATACTTTGTAGAGTATCTCAGACCACATCTCAGGACTCAAGGCCAGTTCCCAAACAATGTGTTTTGTGGTGTTTTGATTTTGCCTTTTCCTCTAGGGAACGTTGTCATGAACATTTATTTATTTTGTTGTATTTTACCTATTACATACCATTAGACTTACTGATTGATCGAGCTTTTGCAGCATGAATAAGTATTGGTATTCTTCCATTTATTGACCACAGTAGATTCTTGACAATCCTAATTATAACGAAACCTGTGAATCGCTGAGAGTGAGGTCCATGTGTTATCCCTACCCTTAGCAATGTAACTTCTACCACAAAATGTATTTTGCAGTGGCTAATATTGCTGTTATTATAATTTGATGGCCTCTTAGTGCCCAAAGTTTAAACCATATGCTGATATTTTCTATTTTTGTGCAAAATCAAAAATACCGGCATGCTACCGGCAGGACATGCCAGATACCACGAAAAAACCTGCGGTAGTGAAAATTTACCGGCATGCCGGTAGTGCGGTAGGGAAACTTTGCAACTCTAATACACATGCATTTCCATCCCAAGGAATGTACCAGAGGAATGCTTGAGAAAGGACACGTCCCATTATTTACCTGGGCGGTAGTACCCAGCTGTTGAATTTGGGTGGTGGAGCCAAAGAGGCCCTGGGTCTGTGCCTGGATGCCGTTGGCCCCGGCGCTGCCAAAGGCGCTGGGTCTACCAAATCCTGGAATGAACTGAGGCCTTGCCGAGGCGACGGCAACCAGACAGACCAAAACCAGGGTAGTCTTCATAGCTGAAATAGAACGATCGATTAGCATTATGACATGGGTAACGCGGATTACTGGTACTTTGCACATTGAAAACTGTGGTTAAACTGGTGACCTCTGTTCAATTTTCTGATTTTGATAGGCATCCAAGCATAGGAAGACGTTTTGGAAACCATTCGATGCCTTTGGTCTGTTAAAATTCTTAACTATCACAACTTTCACAATTGCATGTAGTTCCTGTCTTTTCGGTGGACGTTTTGATTAAAAATTCCGCATTAACCCGCGCCCGGCTGGGGGTCCTGGATTTCCACGCCCTGCTGGGGGGGGGGGGTGTTTGAACACCCCCCCTTCTAACTCGGCTCCTGGGCCACGCAGCGATACGCGGAAGGCGGCGTTCGAAAGAGCGTCAAAAATAATGAGGAAATCACTTCGGTCAATTTTTTGGTCAGGTCAAAGGTCAGGTCACCAGAGGTCATTGAAGGCAAAATTTCGCCGATTTCCAGGTCGAATGTCGACAATTTCCAAGAAGCCAACGCATAACTCGGGAACCAATAGAGCTACAGCGCCGCGGAAAAGCGCATTCGATAGCCCTATTAACGCCCTTTCTGAGTAATTGTCTCAGATATGACCTAACGTCAACGGTTTTGCCTGCAGGGGGCAAAAACTGCAAAAATAGCCGATTTTTTCGGAAACAGTTTTTCTGCAATAACTTTTGACCCAAGCCTTGTACGAGCTTACTTTTACCGGCATCGTGTTCCTCTCGTCAAGACGCATCGAATGAACTATAACTTGACCTTGAAAGGTCAACTTGAAAATTTGACCTCAGGTCAAGGTCATGACCTGACCGGGAAGGGTCATGTTGCATATCAGTCGATCCGTATCGTCGAGCTGAACACATCTCAGGCGTTTTCATCGCTCTAACATGCCTCTATCAAAAGTTATTTGCGAAAAACTGTTAAATACCATTCGTGACCTAAGATGACCTCAGGGCATAAACAGGGGTCACGGACACCATTTTCATGTTCAGTGTGTCTAAACCACTTGTAATTCAGTGTTTGGGAGTGTTTATAATGTCTTTCGTCCAAAAGAGGCGCATTTCAATTTTCTCCCATTGACTTATAATGGGGAGGTCGCAAAATTGACCTGACCTTAGGTCATCGATATCAAAATTCTGAGATATACATTTTGTACATGCTATTGCTCTTAGCAATCGCTGAAAGTTTCAAAGCGATCGGTCACTCGGTGTAGCTATGACAGACATTGAAACTTTTTATGAGGTGAGGTCACTTCAAGTGACCTGGTGACCTGACCTTGAATGACCTTGGTTTGAAATTTTCACAACATGTGTAGAATTGATGTATGATAAGGTATACCAAAAACGGCGGCGCTCCGCGCCGCCGTTTTTGAGATATTCGCGAAAAACCACAAGGGGGGGGGGTGTTCAAACACCCCCCCCCCCCAGCAGGGCGCGGGTTAATAGTCTCAGAACTTATAATTGAAACATTTCGTCAATCCGAAACAGAAGTTATCATTGCTTCAGAAAATTATAAAATACCTAATCCTTACAGCAACAAGTGGCAACAACATATTTCAAAAACGGATATAATGATCTTCATAATTCATGCGAGCAGCGTTTCACTAAATCTCACCTGCAAACTGAGGTCGAAGTGGTCTTTTCACTGAGGTGCCTTGTTCGTAACTGATGTAGCCACACGGAGCCTCTCCTTTATATCTGATTGGCAGGTTTTGCGATTGTTTACCAAGGATTACACATGGATGCTGCGGTTTTTCTCTGGTGAGTCGCATTGTCAACTGGCCCATGGATTATTGACTAATCGTGCAGAACTCTGCAAACTCAAGGCTTGCAGCCCGCAGGTCGCATTGGTGAAGACTATGAACTGGAAATTTGACTGGACTGGAAGCGCTCAACTACACACAGGTTTGGGGTTTTTCCGCAATCTGAGCTGGCAGATGCCGCTTCTGATGAATCGTCGAACGCCTAATCAGCCCGTCAAACGACGATAGATGCTGCAGCCTGTCACAATGTCCGAAGCATTCGTGAGGTTGTCTGCTATGATTGGGCGCACGCCGGCTTGCGGGCTTTGTTGAAGTCGTAAGAATTGATTCCCACTTTGGGGTAGATTTCATAAAAAAAAAATCTTCAAAAATTACAGATCACTCAGGTCAGGACAGGTCAAAGCCATTCAGGCCACGAAGCTGATCGATTGAGGCCAGGTCGCATAACATTTGATTCGGCAGCTCTTCCTGATTCCATTGGTGTTTTGTTTCGACTTGCTAGCTCAGTTTGATGGGAAGTTATTGACGAAAAAAACTCAAATGTCCTTAGTGACGTCATAAAATGCAAACCCTAAACAGAAAAACTTGCAAGATGTGTATGTACTCACGATTATATATGCATTATGTCGCTTCAAAATCATTATACCCACTAAAAAAGTTTCCATAGTTCCCTATTGATTTATACATAGTTAACATGAATCGTGATTGTGATCGTGACACGTGATCGACCTGACCTCAGATGACCCTAAAAAAAAATCCGAAGTGTATAGGTTGTGAGGCCATGGAAGGCTAGTAGGCCCCGAAAAAAAATCATCTCCCTGTGAAAGGCACTGAGTGCGTTGCGAAATAGCGACATTTTAGGACCGTGCAGCCGGGGAGGGTTCAACGCATCAATGCCTGTTCTTTTAAAAATCCGCAGACATTCTGTTCATTGCGAAATGGCTTTATTTGAGTGAATGTGCTTTGATGTCTTCGCGTCTTAACAGCGATAAACGTTTCGTAAATTGTTAATCAAAGAATGCAGATTAGAAGACCATGCACTTAGACATATTTCAAAATGATCTTCTCAGCCGCATTCACTAAAGCATATTAATTGATCATGAAATGTCTCTCCATTGCAAAACAGTGAGTTTTGACCTTTCCAACCTTAGTTATATTCACTTCACACGCCCAAGACAATAAATAAACATGATCTCAGTCAAGTAACAGAGCGGACGCTTTGAAGGATGATAGGTATGACTGTGATGAAACACACGGACACTGTTGACCGCCAGGAACGCAAGACAGCTGAAATCCAGCAAAGAAAAACAACATGTTTCTTTAAGCAAACACTCCAGTACGTTATTGTAGAAGAGTCGGAGCAGCACATATTGTATCAGGCTTTTCATTATGAACAACAACGAGAAATTCACTCAGTAAAAGACGTTTTATGATGTTGCTGAATTCTGAATTCCGATTCACTGATGGACCAGTGCGGACTTAGCCTCCGAACTGGTTACTGAAGGCATTGTTGCTGCTGAACTGCTGTGGCCCGAACAGTCCAAAGCTCTGGCCGACGTTGCTATTAGCGCTGTTAAAAGAAGCGCCACCGTTGAATGCGTTGCCCTGAAATGAGGCGGATGGTTTCAGACAGAATTACAACATCGAAATCATTGTGGAGGAACAATCTGAACAGTTTTTTATTGCACCCTGCAGGCGCATTTCGCTCATCCATTGCAAACTAGGCATATCATTGGGGTAGGCATTACTAGAATCTACATGTCATATTTGAATGACCACTGTCAAAATGATTGTTGAAAATCCTCAGTATCTGTATGGATAGAGACGCCTTTTCGCAACTTACATTGGCAAAGGCGCTGCTTTGCTGCACCTGGCTGTTGCCGAACGGCCCCTGGTTCAGCCCCTGGACGCTGTTGGCTCCGGTGTTGCCGTTAGCTCCTCCAAACGGGCTGCCGAATCCTGAAAATCCGAACTGGGGCCTTGCCGAAGCAGCAGCCACAAGACAGACCAGAACCAGGGTAGCCTTCATAGCTGAAAGTGAAAAAGAACGTTTTATGCAGTCCATTTGTGTTGCTGTAATAGCATGCGCTTACACCTGCAAAGGGTTTCAGCACTTACACTAAGAAATTAGGTTCTTCTGGACATAATCATCACTGTAAATCCTTCATTTCTAACCATTTTCTTTTTGCTATGGATAAATTCGCTAGTGCCTGTTATATTTGAATGTCCTGCAAAGAGCAAGTTTAGCTGAAGCAGTTCAAGCTAATGTTTAATGCATATTCACTTCACTGTTATCCACTGACGAAAGACACATCAAAAGTTGGTACTGTTTTACAAAACAACTGTTTATATACAATTGCCAGGATGCCTTTTCCAAGTGTTATACGTTTTTGGACATAAAGAGATGTAACTCTTACGTATAAGCACATAGGAAAGAAAACATTGAATTAAACATAGCATTTATGAAGTTCCTCTCGCAGCAAAGCAAAACGGTTCTCACCTGTTTACTCTGAGGTCTTCTGACTGAGTGAGCTGGTCCTAGAATGATTCTCACAACGAACGGCCTCTCCTTTATATTCGAGCGACCTAGAGCGTCCACGGACTTACCCAGATCTAGCCCGGCGGCCGCTGGGCCTCCGCGCCACCCGCCAGCCGCTGGGGGGGGGCATAAAGTTGCCCCCCCTTTACTTCTGCGACGATATCGTCGCAACGCGAAGAGATAGAGAAGCGAAACTTTGCACACATCTTCCTGGACACCTAGCCGAGGTTGTGTCCAAATTTGGTGTCGATCCCATTTGAAATGACGTCACAGTGACGTCATAAGTGAAATTATAGATTTGCGACTCTCATATTCCTCACGATACATCACATATATGGGACCGAATATAAAGGGCCGATTATTGGTCAGAAACTAGATGGAAGTGTAGTAAGATGTTTTAGGATGACAGCAGGTGCTGTCTAGTTCATTTACAGTCGAGTTTCACGCTCAGCGTCATCAGAAACGGTCCATATCGGAAAACGACAAAACTTTATGACGTCACTGTGACGTCATCTTAGGTGCTACAACCACCAAACTTTCCTCAAACATTGCCTAGGTATTCATTTGAAGCTATGCCAAGTTTCACGTTCGTAGCTCATCAGGTTTCGGAGATATTTCACGAAACGTAAAGGGGGGGCAACTTTATGCCCCCCCCAGCGGCTCGTGGGCTAGAGCACAGAGGCCGCGGTTTCAGGCGGTGGGTACGCCGCTGACTGCATAGGGATTAGTGATTCACTCCTCTTAGCTTTGCAACCCCTCACGGTGCGTATCTGGAATTGGTGACGATTGAGGGAAATTGGGTGGAACTGGTTGCAAATGGGGGGATGTATTTGGGGCTCCATGATTTTGAACCGATTATCGAGACCGATTATCGTTTGCCAATATGTCGATTGGTTAATACTAAAGCTGTCAGTTGGTAATAAGGAAACTGAGCGATTTTCGTGAGCTACGTTCGAACATGCGGTGAGGAAGTCGTGAAGTTAAATACGAAATTGGAATTTCCAAAAGACAGGACAGGAAAATGGAGGTTTTCGACCTTTCCTAATATATTCCTGCCCGGGGCCGGGGTGATTCAATAAATGTCACCGAGGTTTTTTAGCGAAAACTCCGAGGGCCGTTAGGCCCGCGAGGTGATTTTGCTAAAAAAAGAGCGAGATGACATTTATTGAATTCCCGGCCTTAGGGCTGGAAGGTGTTTCCCATACCTGCCAAAAAACTCACAACTGTATAATAGTGACGTCAGCAGCCGTGTGGTTCAACGTGTTTAACCACACCCCTTGAACCACACGGCTCGTAATATTGGGTGCGGTTATTTTTTCTCATCTTAGTTTGCTATTTTGGCGCGATTTTGACAATTTCTGGCGCATTCCACTTATTTACTTTAGCAGGGCAATGGTTTACTAACGGGAGATGTGATGAATTGCAGCAGCAATACTTGAAATATAAGGAAGAAGTGAAGCAATTATGATGCCTATTATTTTTTATAATGACAGAAGGAACGTGGAAGAAAAAACATTTTGTGCAGCATGTGAAAACAAGGAAATAGAATGAAAGAAGGGCTGCTACTTTCATGCTCCCGAAACCACTGCCAGCTCATCATCATAGCATGGTAATGATAGTTGAAGTTTATGTTAAAAAAGAATAGAAGGAGCTGCTGCAAAGGTCTTTGTGATGCCTCAAATCTGTTAAGTCAAGTCAGGCATGCTCTTACAGACTGAACGTTCAAGTTACGAGACCCCATCATACTCTAGTGGCTGCATGGTGCTTGAGCTTGTCAAATACTTAAATGTTTTGCTCAGAAATTGTTTGCTTTATTGGTTTCTTGAGTTTCACCAGATAAAGATGCAAGGTTGGCTGATTTGGTGTTGTTATCCATATTAAAGTGCACTGTTTGTGACAAGATTATGGAAATTGTAACCTCAATAATGAAATTTCATGCTGTCAAAGCTATGATATGTTGCCTTGAGTTTGAAATCAGGCAAACATGGATTGAAGCTGTTTTCTAAAAAAACTGCTTTTTAGTAACGTTCACCCCATAATTTGTATTTGTTCAATCTCAGAATGGGAGCAAGGCTGAATCACAATTATCTTTTGAGAAATGCTCTACAAAACTGCATTGCTTTTATTTATTTCTGTGGCATAATTTTGTACCTAATTCAAAGACTTTCTCTGGTGTAGTTTGTAAGATTGTTTGAACTTCTACTTTCTGACCTGTTTGGTGACAATAAATCCTGCAACCTATTTGGCTTATTTACCCATCTCTCTTGCCATTCCTACATATTTCATGTCAGTCTATTGCATAAATATTGTGTAGTTAACATACTTCATGATATACAAATGAATGGTACCTACCTATATGTAGAAGCTCGATGTGGGTAAATGAGAACCAATGAACCTATGTTTTTTTTACAATGGCATAAAGTCATAATATTTGTGGCATAATATTTGCCGGCCCCGTAGCTCAGTTGGTTAGAGCGTTGGACTCCGCGTGGTGAGAGCACGCGTTTCCGGTTATGACAGTCCGGGTTCGAAGCGCGACCGGCGCTCGACATTTATGGGCATCCTGACAGGTATGGTTGCGGTTGGTGGCAGGCCGTAGCCAGGTGAAGTCAGCGAGGGGACCGGCCGTGCGCGGCTTTGTGCGCACGTTAAACTTTGGACTCTAAATTCTGCCATAGAATCGGAATTGCGCGATCGGAGGGTAGAGGGCAGGGTCATCGCAACAAGCTTCGCTTAGCGGTGGCTCTGTCCTTGTGAATCCTTCCCATCAAAAGGTTCGGACTAAATTTATAAAAAAAAGTCCTCTTGTCACGGCCATGGATATCACAGAAGATTTTGCTGAACTGCGCAAGAGAATCCTGTGCAAGGAAATGTTTTGCATGATTTAGCTTAACAGCATAAATTTTATTTTCCCAGTTGCATTGGAGCTCTGCTGGAGTTTGCTGATGACAGGATGCTGAAGGGCTGAAGCTGGTAGCTCTGGCAGGAGTACAAGTGTCCACCAGCTCAAGATCCGACGCCGCCGCGTCGCCGCCGTGCGGCACTCCGTGGAGACGGTCATGGTTGAAGACGAAGACACCGCATTTCCCGCCTGGACTGTCCGGTCGGAGACTGGTAATCCCTCCGGTGAGCCGCACACCGTGGAGCTACTGCACCGCGGTCCGCGCGTGTCCACCCGCAGCGCAGTGCCAGCAACGGTACCGTGAGTGCGACATCTGCGTGCATATGACGCAGTGCGACTGTCACGACTCGCGGCTCAGTGTTCTGTCAGTGTGACAGTGCGGCTCGCGCTCGTTTTAGCGTGGTGCTCTGTTGTATATAACCACCTTGATGGAGACCTATGTGCTGCCGCTTGAGTTTCAATGTACAGTTCTATGCATCAAACTAGCGTAAGTAAATGGCTGTCAGAGGTCAATTTGAAGCGCAATTAGTACCCATAACCCAGCTGGGTTGAGCGAGTCATGTGACTAGTCCCGATGAACGTACTGTTTCGATGTCGTCAGTCGTAGACTTTTGTAAACCATTCGTTTCGGAGCTCTGTGTTGTGTTGTTCGGGACCGCAGTTGTTTGAGCAGTTTGCTTTATGCGTCGTACGCTGACAGAACGCTGGTCGTACACAAGTCATGTGTTTCCTTTCGCCCCTAATGTGTTACTGCGGTACCTATGCAGTTGTAATGTGTCTCGAGACACTAACTGGTCGCACTTGGTTGTGAAAATGACACTAGCTGGTCGCACTTGGTTTCAAACTGCGCTTGGAAGTCGTGCAATTTTATTTGCATTTTGCAATGCAATTTTATTGCCGTTACCGTATTGGTAGATAGTGTCAGAAGTTGGCCATTTGATGCGTTGTCACTTGTCAGACGTTGTTGCCTTAGTACTGACGAATTGATGGGCCGCGTTTGTGTTCCTGTTAAGAAACGGATCTCAATATAAGGTGATTCAGAGGTAGGAACCTGAATGCATTCGTTCAGTTCAGACTTTTCATTTTATAGGGATGCACTGCTTCATGAGCAAGAACGAGCATGGCTCTGGTTGAGCGAAGCGCAATCGATATTTGTTATCGTGGTTGTAGACTGTGGCCACATTTACATCACTAATCAACTCCACGCACCAGCATTATTTAAACTGCTTGAACCTATACTTCATTTCGCTAAATTTCGGGGTCGTCAACCTACGGTCCGTGGCCGTTACGTTGGCCAATAACTAGATTTTATACATATTAACTGGTTCATATAATCACAGCATGATGCCCCCGACAATTTTTATTTGATTCACTGATAATGAATGTGTCCCAGTACCGCACAAACTGAGACTGAAACTGGACAACTCGGTTTTCGAGGTTCAAGTTCATTATCTTCAGATGTTATGGTATGGTAAGCATTTAATGATCGAAGAAAATGGTCAGCGTTAGCAGTGCTAATCGGGTATTATGAGCTTTCAGTTATTTCAATATTTGTTTAGGCTATTATTCTTGTGGTATCTCCTGTCAATTTCACGCGGAATATATAGTATTATCTTATACAATCGCGGTAACTACATATTGTCTGCCGGTTACTGTTATTATCATTGATTCGTAATATTTCGCTACGAGCGTGGCTCGATTCACATTGTTATTATATTGGCATTCAAGATTTAAGAATAAAAATATTTTAATGCATTCCAATTCCATCAAAATGCTAATATGCAAAAAAAGTTATAAAAATTGCAGCAGTTTTGTGAATCAAAAATAGCTGTAAAATAGGCCTGTATAACTTCAACAACAGTGCGCCGAGAAACGTCTAAAAACGCGTAAACAAAAACTAAGATGTAAAAAAATAACTACACCCGTAATATTAAAGCATTGCATTAAACATTGAAAAGTGTGGTACAGTGCACGTGCCGTTTAAATGCCTGGATGTCTCGATTTATTCATGCAAAGTAGCAGGTATGGGAAATTCAAAGACGTTCCATGTCAAAGGCAAGATGCATAACTGATACCATCAGGTTACATGGTAGCATGATAACATGTTATAA